AAAAGCGTATCATTCTACGACACCCATTGTAATATAACATGACACGTTTGGCACATTTTATTTCAACAAAGGTTCCACGATCATCGTAACCATGGATTCTGATATATACTGTCTTGCCAATAACTGAGATTGCCTTTCATTTTGTCGTACTCGTAGACTTCTGGTAATCTTTTGGCCTGCTTCATTTTCTTCTCTTCTTTTTCTTCTCCTTCAAACGTTAAGAATAAGAAGAAGAAGAAAAAGAAGAAAAAGACGCTTCGTGATTTGGTGTGTCGGGTTCTGGAAATAGCCCATGTGTTGTCTTATACCTAGTATACCTAGGGTTCTTTTTTGAAAGCTTTTCCCCCTTTCGTTCTTTTACCTTTTGCTCTTTTCGCCATCATAGTCAACGATACAAAAACGATACATCCACGACCCCCATAGACGACGACCCACGTGTTTCGTCGTCCGGGTTGTCATCTTCGTTCGGTTATGTTACGAGGACAATATCTAATAAAAAGCGAAGTAAAGTGGTCCATAGCCACCACCAACCCCAAATTCTCTCTCTTCCTCTCTCTCTCTCTCTCTTTCAATGTGTGGAGATTTTTCGCCTTTTCCTTTATTATAAAGCCTTCCATGGAATTCCGTTCGTCGTTGCCCTCATCCACGTGGATCACAGGCTAAGGAAAATATAGAAAACGTTAGGATTTTCTACTGTTCATCTAATAATATCGAGAGGATACAAAATCTTATATCTTTTGGTGTAGCTAATACGATAAAAAGATTTGGCCGAGGGGGTTCTTTTCTTTGATTCGATTCAATTTTAAGATTAGCTTTGTTGGTTCTTCTAATATATATATATATATATGTATGTGTGCATGTATGTATGTATAATATGCATTGGTGGCCAATTCGATCGAGCATGAATACTTTATAGGTTTTTATTTCGATTTCATCCTTTTTTTTTCTTTTTTGTTTGTTTTTTTGTTTTGTTTTTTAAATTACGACATTTGGCAAGAAATTTCTCACTTGGCACGATCCACTTGGAAGAGAATAACTAACAACGCTGCTTAATCTGGCAACGACGATAAAACTCTGTAATAATAAGACTCTTGGTTTTGTTCTCGTAAAAAAAACTAAAAGACCGAGCTAATAATTACAACTCCCCGTTCTTTTTCCTTTCTTTTTTTTGTTTGTCTATTAAAAACGTAATTATATCCCATTTTTCGTGTAATAGACGCGAATAGAATTTACGGATTGATCTTAAAGAAAACTTCGCGAAATAAAACGGCAGTTTTCAATTTCAACAAATAATAATTATAAAAAAAAATATTTCGACAACGACGAATACAATCGTTTTTGTTCGAAAATCTTACAAATTAATATCTAACAAAAGAAAATTACGTTTTGCGGTTAACGACTAATTTCTACTAAATTAACTAACCAATTGTACCGTAAACGTTCTCGATCAAGTATCATGAGTATTAACTCATGGGAATGTAGTTGTTACTTAGAAAATTACCCCTTCTATAAATTCGCTCATCGAACTATCCCATAAACGATAGTGAGAGAAGGGTTACTTTCTCTCACCCTCACACCCATGCACACATGTACATTGCGCCTGCATCAAGCTTGCATCGTTTCGTGTTGTCCGTAGTGATTGTCGGACGGCGGAGGGTTGTCGCTCAGGATCCCTAATGAATCTATTAGGGATGCCATCCCTCGTCCCTAGAGTTGCATTCAGCATCCCGATCCAGCAGCACGGTACTCTCCTTCTCTCTCTTACTCGTTATCTTCGTTGCACGATGCATTCTATCACTATCTCTGTCATTATCTCTATCTCTGCTTTTCTCTCTCTCTCTCTCTCTCTCTCTCTCTCTCTCTATCTCTCTTTCTCTTTTATTCTTGTTTAATAGAACGTTTCTATCCTTCCTCTGTGCAATATTCCAACGGGGCCCAGCGGATGTCTCGTAAATCTGATTATCGATCGGTAATCAATATCGTAGCAATTTGGCGGTACGCCAGGACACACTGCATGCAACTGTGTTTGTTGCCTATACGTGTACGAATGCGGGTATGCGTCGTGGGTGTCATTTGCATCAAATTTGACAGGCAGAAAATATTATTTTCATCTTTTTCTTTTATCATTTTGTTGGTCAAATTTCACGTGTCTTCTTTTTTTTTCTCAATGGGTGGGTGGGGGATAGAGAGAGGAGGGAGCTCTCAATCAATTTTAGGATTAATTTATTTTCTTGTTGCGTTAGATCGTTCATCTTTTCTTTTTTTTTTTTTTAATCATCGATATTTGTGCACGTTGGGACAACGTAGAAATAATCTAACTCGATCGCGGGTGTTTTTGTTTTTATTCGGAACGTTCGTGTTATGAGTCTTTTTCTCTCTCTCTCTATCTTATTCTCCCTATTTCTCTGCCTTTTTCTTTCCATAGCTTGTGGGTCGAACGACTCTTCGAGCAGGTCAAGCGTACTTGCGTGTTTGACAGTCTTCTTTCATCTCTCGTGCTGTTAGCCAAAAGGCTACGTGAGAAAAGAATGGTACTTCCTCTTTTATTCTCTCTCTCTCTCTCTCTCTCTTTCTCTATATATATATATAAATATATATATTTGTATTTAAGTATTTCATTAATGTTTTCGTAAATACAGAAAGTGCAGAGATACGTAATAGAGATGTATTAATATAGAAATATTCTTTGAAAATAATTTCGTGTTTATTGAAAAAAAAAAAACAAGAATAAAAAAAGATAATTAAATTAAATTGTATAATTATACGATGATATATTTAAATCATCGATATTTATTTATTTCATAAATAATAATCTTGACTTTTCGATTTATTTAATTGAACGTTGAAAGGTAACAGTTCGGCTGATGCATATTCATGATTTTTCGAGGTTTCCTGTCTACTTTGCATTTTCAATCGTTCACGATCGTTCAATCCCTTCGCCCTCGATACAAAATTTGCTGATATTGAACTTAGACCTTCGCTAAAGATGATATTACAATCGTCTGAAGGATATTACTACGAATCTCAGGTTATAACAATTTTATTCAGACTGGGTAACGAATATATTTATCTATATGTATTCTATTATATTATTTAATATAAATCTAATAACACACAAAACGAAATATAAATTGAATTTATTGTACTGAATGAAAATGATATACAAAGAGATACTCGTGAATGTAGACAATTTGAAATGATATATGTGGGTTGAATGGGTAACGTAGAGAAAGTTGAAAGGAACACCAAAAGAAAAGAATTTGATAACTTTACCAAAAATTCTACCCCGTTGTCAGTTTCCTGTGCCAAGTTTCTATGTCTCAAGAAAAGGTTGAATGGATAAGACAAAGCTTACCCTCTATCATGATTACAATCACCACCACCACTACCACCACCATCACCTTTCTCATGTCATAGATCATATCTTTCTTTTCTCCCTTATACAATGAGGAACTCTGTGAATTTCTTGACAAACGTTAAAAAGAAGATAAAGAAATTTGGACGAGTGTCAAAGAAGAGAGCAAATGAAAATACAATAAAAAATACGTTGATGCTCGTTCCTTGTTAAAGTGAGAAACGGTTTAATTTATTTTTTTAAGAATTATTTATTTTACACAGAGGGGACGCGTATACACACATACATACATACACAGAATGAATTTCTCATCCCGCATTTCGTGATTTTATTGCAGTCCTTGCATTAAAGAACGTGTCGGTGTTAGAATTCAGAGGATTGCTAAATCTGTTGAATAAATATCTAGATTTCTTCTTCTTCTCTGTTTACTTTACGATTTATAATAATAAAAGGTGTTTTATGCATGAAATCCTGGTATCTACTTAATTCATAATAATTCTAGAGTATAGGTACTTAAAATACTTATGAGTAAACAGTAATAATAGATTCAATGATAATTTGTGTTTGTTAATGTCTTATAAAATATGATTTATTCTTAATAATAATAAATTATTTGAGGATGAATCGTAAAAAGAATTTCTTTTGGGGATCCTTTCGGACTAAAATATTATCAGTAAATTTGTTCACTCGATAATACAACAGCACTCGATATAGGATAATAATTTTGATCCCACTTTATTTCAATGGGACTAAGTTTTTCAGTATATACCCGCAATGCCGTATCCTGTCAGAGGCAGATTCTCTACCATTATGGTTTATAGCGTTTCCGACTACTATCTTCGGTACTCCTCGCAAGGAGGATTCCAACTGGTGTCCCTCCGTTGGAGCATAATGCGCCCATTATCTCCACTCCTTTCACCTATCACCAACGGCGTGTGTATAACACACCAAAGGTATAATGTGTACCGGGTGTCAATGTAATTTCCCGTTTCCTCCTCAAGCAATCTATTTCACTAAACGTGTGTTGGTGACATGATCGTAAACTGAGTGTCATCGGATTAAGTTATCGCACGGGGAAAACAAAAAAAAAAGAGAAAAAAAAAAGATAGAAAAAAGAGAACAACAAGCATTGAATATGATACGTTCATGTAAGGATGAAAAATGACAGAATGAGAAAATGAGGAAGAGGCAAGAAACCATTATCCATAATATCCCATCGCAGGAGGAAGTGATTTTTAAGGAGAAGAGGACCCATCGTTTCACGGCAATTTCGCATTCCCTAAGTGTCCTCTTTTCTCTTCTACTCTTCCTTGCTATCACGAGTCACGATGAAACGATTATGAAAATCTCGTAGCATTTTACCTTCCTTGGCTGGTACTACGAGGGCTTCTTCCTCTTTCTCTTTCTGTCTCTTTCCTTTTTTTTTACCCCTTATTATATATCTACGCACCCTTCCACTTAAATTTCGAACTTTCCCCTTTTTTCTTACCCCATCATCTGGACGATGACCATTTTCTTGTTATCCAGCAAAAGTCTTATCGAGATTGGAACGTTTTATTAGGAACTTCTCGTTATTATTATGTTGAATTTTCTAGATCATTTGATTTCATTATTGAAACGTTTTGGTTTCTTTTTTTTTTTTCAGATCCATCCGCTTCCGGGTCCTCTTGCGAAGATGAAATCAACGAGGAACGTTTTATCGGGGCTAGGAAACGTAAGAACAGTTTGTACACTTCTAGCTCGCTTCGTGCGGCTTCAGTAGAAAGCGACAGACCACTTTCGACGGATGGTGTTCTCGTTGATTGCGTTGCGTTGGTTCACCTAGCTGATCAATCCTCTACGGACTCTAATCAACCTGCTCGTCATCCATCACCGTATTATTACGGGGATCTCTTCAAAGTACCGGAACAACCAATAAGATCGCAACCGAGTAAATACAGAAAGAGTGTGAGTTTAGACGTGCCTGAGGAACGTTCAAGAACACCCGGTATACCGAAAAGAAATTCTCTGGCGGGTGATGGGGGTCCCTATTCGCCTCACCAACAGCAACATCAGCAACAGCAACAGCAACAGCAGCAACAGCAACAGCAGCAACAAGGAGGACAGCAGAAGGGGCAACAGCAACAACATAATCAGCAGCAACAACAAAATTATCAGAACCAAGATCTAGTGAGCCCCACATCGGGGAGCGAGCATGCTGTCCCAGATAGAAATAGCGAGCTCCTCTCGTCGTGCATTATTACAGAGTGGGTTCACACACTCATGCCTCCGCCTAGGCTGCTGAGCCATGATCTTCCGAGTACCGTTTGTACGTGCGTCGCATCAGCCGAGGAAGAAGAGGATGAGTTAGAGCGACGACAGCCGCAGACAACGCGGCAACAACAGCAAATACAACAGCAACAGCAACAGCAACAACAACAGCAACAGCAACAGCAGCAGCAGCAGCAGCAACCACTCCTTCATCATCACCATCATCACTACCATCATCATCATCATCATCAAACAGCACCGCGAAAGTTACGACGAACCAGAAGAATAGATCCACAACCAATACTCGTGGAGGACGAGGACGACGTGGAGGGGGAGGACGAGGAAGAGGAGGAGGAGGAGGAGGAGGAAGTGGTGGTGGTTGGTTTGGAGGAAGACGAGGAAGAGATGGCGAGACAACGTCACCTCTACGAAACCGCTTTCGATTGCAAGGTCAATCGTTCCGACGACGATCTCGACGATCTCGATCGAGTTACCAATCATCCGGTATTGCATTCTCAAGTAAGTCATTCCCGATTTAATATATATTATTTTATAGTCGGTACTATTCTGGATATCCACGAGTTTGTTCTTTTATTTTATTTTTTTTTTTTTTAATAACATAGATAAGAAGCAGTAGCGCGTTGGCTACGAGTCGAACGAGTTCGTCGACGGATACGTCGAAGCAGCAACAGCAGCAACAACAGCAGCAACAACAACAACAGCAGCAACAACAACAACAGCAGCAGCAGCAACAGCAGCAGCAACAACAGCAACAAATTCCTTATGCTGGTCAATCGCATTCAAGCAAGGACCACCGACGCAAAGTCGTACTTCTCCGCCCAAAACCAATTCCGAGCCGTCTTCAACAACAACAGCAACAACAACAGCAGCAACAACAACAGCCGCAACAACAACAACAGCAACAATCAGACAATATTTCGACTCTGTTCCAGGATATCGAATCCCTCCAGATAAATTCGAGCGATGAAAAAACTGGCTCGCCCAGGCTTCCTGCGAGAGGGTATACACCCTCACCGCCATCAACGGCACCCCTACCCGCGAAATTTCATGGTAATCGCGACCACCTATTGCTGAATATACGCAGCGCACCAAATTTGCCATCCCAACCGGATCATCCACGTTTGAAGGACATGAGACTGCCCGTGAAGTCGACCTTACGTGCCAAGGATTCTCCGCAAAGTAGCGAGGGCAGTATTTTGGAGATAAAGAGCCGACCTAAGAACTTTGTTCAGGAAAACGTTGAGTCATCTCAGGGTCGTCGTTTCGACAAGGAACTCATTCTCGAGTTCAAGAGCAGGCCAAGAGACGAGAGACAACGTCCAAGAAGTTTGATACGCGAGAGCAAACCCATTATGGAGTTCAAGGGTAGGCCTCACGAAGCTGAAAGTGACCTTGCACGTACAAGAAGAGAGGCCGGCCTTTTGGAATTCAAATTACGTAACAGCAGGCGTAGAGCTGGCTATTCTAGTACAGAAAGTATGGCTACCAGTAGTAGTGGGGGTAGTATGGAGTCTTTGAGAAGCAGTACCAGCGAAGGTAATCGATCGACGAGTAGCTCTGAAAGTCGCCACAGTACCAGTCTCAGTTCACATAGCTCCGACAGTGGTGGTACAAATTGTTATCATCATCATCATCATCATCATCAGCAACCGTCTTTAACGGGCTTCCTGACACATCATGCCAATAAACTTCACATATTGTCGCCAATTTCGGACAAGTCATCCCAGGAACCGGCCTCGGAGACCTCGGACAACAATCGTAATAATAATTCTCAAAAAGCATCACCCGAGGAAAGCATCACCACGGAAAATAATGTTATGTTGACCAATAATACAAACACTAATACAAATACCAATACGAATGCAGCCAATACAAATACAAACTCCGTCACGTCTCCCATGGACACGTCTTTTAAAAAGAGACGAACTCCTCAGAACAAGAATCTCATTAATTTAGCTCTCCAATCGTCGTCTTCCGGAGATGCAGAAATTCAAGGCTCCGATAGCGGTATTTCTATCGAGTCTCGAGCCGGTATTAAGTGCAAGCCTTTCGCTTTTCACTTGGTAAAACCCCAATTGGATAATATCAACATCGTTGATAACGAACCGGAATTGTCAGATTTGCCGTTTGACATGCCAAAACTTCGTAGACGAAGATTACTCATGCAACAGGATGCGACAACTTCCGGTAGCGCGACCAGTGTAGATTTGAGAGATTTGCCCTTTGACATGCCAAAACTTAGAAGGAGACTTAGGTGCACTCAAAGCACCGAATCCAGTGCTTCGCAAGCTTCTTCGAGTCTTTCAGTACGCGACGTTGAACCGCCTGGTTTGTTTGGTGAGTCTTATTTTTTATTATTATTATTATTATTATTATTATTATAAAAATAACAAATTATTATATATATATATACGCTGTTTATCAATCATACGTTACACGCTCGTTTCATAAAACAATTGAAATTTACATTCTCAAATTAATTTCCGTACTATTCTAAATTGCAAAAAGAATAAGAAAAAAAAACAAATGAGATGATTCATTATACGGCCCTTTTGTAAGATAAGTGGCCAAGACGAAGTTTTTATCAGAGATCTTTTTTCGACGATTAGCTTAACGTCAAGGCAAAGCCGCAAGAAGACACTTCGGTACTCTATACTCGTTTCTCGTTAATCAAGTGTCTCACCATTAAAATGATAAAAACATCGTACTTTTGGGTAGCTCGAGGTGAGTTAAGTACTCACCAGGACTCGGAGGGATACTGTAATTTGATGCTGATCGTTATGAACCTTCCAGACAGCGACTAACATCGTTAAGCCTCACTTAGAACCTTTAGTACCTTTACCGAACGACCAAATATTTAATGTTACCAACACGCCATTTGGTTTAGAAGTTTACGCAGGGTAAAGCCCTTACGTATTCTCGCCTTAAGAAATTTTAATTACCGGTTTCGTTGAGAAGGGTAAATGAATAGGGTGACTTTCCTTTTTTATATATTTTTTGTTTGTTTTATTCTTGAGGTGGAGAAAAAAAAACGAACAAACTTCTAATAGAAACCAATAAGATCTTTAAGAATATTTTTAAATTGATTGAAATTAGTGATGGAAAAGATTTTCTAATAAAAAAAAAAAGTGATGCAAAAAATTAAACATACAAAGAAGTACAAGTACATTGTGTATGTAGTTTAGTAAGAAGCGTTTTAGGGGTTTGCATTAGTCGAACGATTAAGTTTGAACTGTCGTGGTCCAGCGTGTGGCGTGGATCCACCTTCTCCCTTCACCCTTCCACACACATACACACGCATGCACCTTCCTTTCCCCGATTTTACCTCGAGGCCTGGCGTCGCGTCGCCCATCGTCGACGAATCGAACGACGAGAGTTTGAACGGCTCTCGTCTACCCTTCCGTACCTACCCCCATCAAATTGGGAAAGCTCTAATGCAAGCTCGCACGTGCGCGCGCATAGCTACAGCCATAGCCATAGCCCACAGGCTAAACTGATATGACAAAGAAAGAGATGGAAATAGATAGATAGATATATAGATGGATAGATAAAAAGGGTGAGTCGATCGAAGGGCTGGTAAATACCGCAGTATCCGAGTCTATACTATGATCAGTATGGTGTTTCACGTACGTTACCTGTATACATATTAGTGATAGTGTTGGTAAGAATCAAATGGTATGAAAAAATGACCGAGAGTAAGAAAGCAAGAAAGAGGTTGTAAAAATATTTTTATAGTATTTCCTATAGTGTCAATAAAAGCCTCAAATACTTCGTAAATTTATTTCCGGTTAACGCAAGATCCTGTTTAGTACGTGGAAGCTTGATATTATTACTTCTCTAACTTAAATATATATTTACGACAGTATATTAGGGTTGCAAATAACGATTGATTATTTTATCATATTATTAGTTTGTCGGTATTTTGATCGTTCCTTTCGATAAACGTTTTGCATCCTATTCGTTCGATCGTATTTCCTGTTTTGTGTGAAATGGATAACGACAATGTATTCCCGTTCGTGTGACTCCGGCATTGTTGAAAACTTGAAACTCACTTCGATATCGGCCACCTACGGTCGAGTGAGTTCCGTTTCTCCGTTTTTGCTGACTAGAGATAGGTCCGGAAAGATAGAAAGAACGAAAGAGAGAGGGTTGTGATGAGATAGAACGTCGTTTCCCGTTTTTGTTCGTTGTTACGCGACGATAAATGATAAAACTCTCGGGACTTTCGATAACCACGGACCACGAGCTACTATACTGTTACCAAACTGGGTGAAAATAACGATCAATATCGAATTACTCCGGGTAAATTCAAAAGGCTGATATAAAGTATAACAAAGTGTAATTTAATATGAATCATTAAAATGTAAATTTTTATTCATCTTTTTTTTTTTTTTTTTACCGACACGTTATTATTATTATTTTATTAAAACGTTGAAAAAGAAATCGTTATTACGTTTTAATAATTCGCAAGTATATAAAATAAAATTGTCTAAAAGTCTCGTATTTTGATATCGGATTATTCAGGGATTAAATTGGATGGGTGAAAAAGTAATCGTTTTTCTTTTTTTTCTTTTTTTTTTTTTTTTACATCGTTACGCGTTGAAAGCTTAAAAATAAACATTTATTTTTATATATCTATAGTATCTATATCTATAAAAATAAAAACAAGAAACATAAATTGACGGAGAGAGTTAAAAATTGTTAGAAATTTTTCGTAAAAATTCTTAACGTGTGTTATATTAATTTATGAATAAGGAAAAAAGGGGGAGAGAAAAAAGAATTGCTTCGAAATTTTTTCCTCTTTCTCATTCGGATTCGTTGAGCATAAGGAACAGTCAGCTGCGTGCAAAATCGAACAACGAGATATATTTCTTTTACCCGTCTGATGGATGTTGCCCGATTTCGATCCGTAAATTACTTTTTGAAGAGGGCGAGTAAACGCGAGGAAAAAGTGGAAAGACGAAAAAGAAATGCTCGTTTCGGCTTTCAACGTGGCTGTTAGCACGTCATCATCTAGAACAGATTTCGGCAAGGATCCGACATACGATGTTACTTTTTTTTTTGTCTCTTTCTTATCTAACGTTTACACAAAATGTTAGAAGACAGGTTGCGGATGGGGGTATTTTTATTGCATTACGATAAATGTTATCAAATTTTATATTTGTAATTATAATCAGAATAATTAATATTAATTTTTGTTCATACGAATATTGCGACATTATTAAAAATTTCATAAATATTACAATATATTATACACAAAACTTCTTATCCCTTTTATCATGTTATTTATTCATATAAGTTAGTAATAAGGGATGGTTTCGTTTACAAGGGTAAACTGAAACCATTTCTGATATGTGATATCATATGTACTGACGTATGCAAATTTATCTACGAAGAATAAAATGTATTTCGTATCTTTCGTGAACGTGATTTTTATAAATAAAAAATGTTTGTCCGAAACTAGTTGTCATATTTGTATGAAAAAAAAAAAAGAAAAGACAAGAAAACACATTTAAACGTCAACAAGTGACAAAACGCATTTGAGACGAAAAGAAATATTATTTTATTCTTGTATCTCTTGTTGAAAAACAATTAAATTAGTTTTCTTTTTATTATATTTTAAGAGTCGAGAGGTGCCGTAGATTATTTTTCCATCATTTCTTTTTTTGTGTTTGTTATAAGAAACCCGAAGGTGGTAACTTTCCGATGAGAGAAGATTGATCGATCGGTTCGTTCGTTTCTTGCGTTAACCTCACGTTGTTGTCTCCAACATTGTTAAGGGCAAAACTGTTTTATTAGTTTGCTAATGGTGAGGAAGGATCGTCGATCATCGTAATCCCATCTTGACTGATCTAAAGATTTAGACACGATGACGGAGCACCTTGATAGAGAACCGATTTGTTCCTCTTTTTTATCTCTCTGTTCGATAAACTTTCGCTTACTCATCTCTTCGTTTTTTTTTTTTTTTACGAGAAACAAGAAAAAAAGAACTGATTTGAGGATTAAAAACGTTCGCAATCGTTCGTAAATTTTCTTTAATGTCATATTAATTTCTAATCATTGTTCTATTTATTTCATCAGTATTTCGATACCTGTTCTCTTTTATAAATGTCGATAATTAATTATTTATACTAAGCCACGCGAAAGAATGATTTGACGAACTTTAGCCTATTATTTTTGTCTACAAAATTTCTCGAGATTACGTAGAAGAATATATTAAAATCAATTTGTTCTAACGAAACGTTACAATAGAAAACTTTTCGATCAATCCACGTGTACGAATAAAATTCAAATTAAAATAAAAAATAATTATTTATTAATATAATTCAATAGAACGGTGTTTAATTAATTGTACGTTTTAGTGTGTATAAAAAAACATGTATGAATTAAATATAGAAATAGAATCTGAAGAAGAAAATGTGTTAAAATAGACGAACAGATGGCTGGTGGTGGTGGTGGTTGTTGCTGTGGTCTAGCTAAACCAGAATCACCATCTCTCTCTCACTCTCTCTCTTACTTTCTTTTTCCTTCCTTCCTTCCTTTTTTCTCCTTTCCCTTTCCTTCCTCTTCTTCTTCTTTTTATATTTTCAACTATGCTCTGTGACGGACGACTAGCCCGGAAGGAGGTCGGTTCTTGCATTGTGCTTTCAGACAAAAGCACCCGGCTTGCTTGCTTGCTTGCGCGTCTACAATGCTATACGATAGATGAGAGAGAGAGAGAGAGAGAGAAAGAGAGAGAGAGAGAGAGAGAGAAAGAGAGAGAGAGAGAGAGAGAAAGAGAGAGAGAGAGAGAGAGAAATAGAGAAAAAGAAAGAAATAGAAGCTGAGCTTAAAGCTTTCACCACACCGTATACCTTTTCTATCTTTTTTACATGTTAATATATATACGTAAACGTATTGTTAAACACATTTATATGTGTTTGTGTGTATATACGAGATAGAATATGTAAAATATAGTATTGTACACAACACAACAAACCCATGTGCATATTTATGGTTTTGTATAGGTTGAAAATATCGGCAGTATTGGAAATATAACGCTCTATTTGTTACAACTTTGAATATAGTTTTCATTTGACAACTCGACAACAGTCCGTTCATTTCAAATGACAAAAATACGATATTCACATTTTTTTTTATTCGGTCAAGGATGATATTATTTTACTCTCTCTCTCTCTCTCTCTCTCTCTCTCTCTCTTTTTCTCTCTGTTCGTTTTTTTTCTTTCCCTTTTTTACTTCTTTCCATCCCTTAGAAGGAGTATTCGTTACCAAAGTTCTTTTTCTCCCGAAAGTAGATGGACTTGTGTCTTTGGCTTAGAAGAAGAATTCTAACTTTG